GCCGCTTTTGCGTTTGTGGTCCTGGCATAAGTCTTATTTATAGAATGGAGACTAAAAGATTTTCCGACAAATGAAAGACATTCCTCTGCTCAGAACTGTTTCCTCCAAACCTACTGCTCTTTTCTTTGTTTTTCACTTGTTTATTTTGAAAACTGAATTGTAGCAACTCTACTCACCCCTGCTGACCGAGTAGGCCGCCTTCTGTCTTTCCCAGTCATGCAGCTGGGAACTGAGGGATTTCTCCTCTGGCTAGTTCCTGCATACAGAGTGCCTGTTGATGACAGCAATGATTATTTCCACACATCTTTAAAAAGAAAGTCAATTTAGGAAACAGCCACACTAACAACAAAAATCCTCGGTTACCTCTGACTTTATGGAAGAACATTTTAAATAAAAGCTATATTGGGATAAACATACAATCACATGCAAGGTCATGAGCTGTCACTAGGAAACCTTTACTTTAAAGGACCAAACTCTTTCTTGCAGACTTTCATTTGAATTGGATTTCGGGAAGCATTGGTTGGCCAAAATCACAATTGCAGTCACTGGCTGTCCATGAACACCATACACTTCTGAAACCCTTTAGTAGCCTCTGAACATCCAGGAACTGATACAGAACTCATGTCATTTCCCTCCTCATTATCACTTTCCCGCTAGTTCATGCTTTCAGACTATTTGCTTATATGCCATCTGCACAGCTGTCTCACCGGAAAAATCGTCATGCCTTTGGCTCACTGTTTTCACTGCCTGCAGTTCTCCATAAATTCCTAGTAGGGAGGCATAAGCTTTTTGCTCCTCGACCCTGAATTTCTGTCAGTTCCTTGAGCTATGTTCAAACCTAATCTCAGCCCTTGACATACTTTTACTGCAGAATCAGCTTTTAAATGACTCCACATTTCTACTGACATGAACATCACCTTTAAGCAAGTTCACTTGGAGATTTCATAAGTGCTGAGTATTGTTATTAGATGAGAGTAATTTTCAGAAGTGAATCTCTGGACTTTATTTTATCACTCCATTATATGATTTGGTCACAGACTGTATGCTGTAATGGGTGACGAGGAGACAAAGGGCCATCCTTAGTCACGGTTTCTTGAAGGTCAGGTTGTTCTGCCAAAATTATTTGGGAGAGAATTGCTTTTTCACAGACCAACCTGACACTTATAAACACACTTTACCCATAGTGATCAGCTGCGAGAGAAGCGAAGGGCAGTGAACATACTGTTCGTTCAGATGGCTCTGCTGATATTTCCAGGGGACCTGTGTGCTTAGAAGCATTCACATCTCAAAAGCACTGCTGCTCTCCAGCCTTTTTTCTCAGTGGCAGCCAGAGTTTGTGAATGCCAAATGTGTTAGCACATCTCAGCATGGTGACAATGTTTTGTCTGGTAAGTGGTGCTAATAAACACCAAGCAGGCCTGTGGACAGCCAGCTATATACGCCTCTGGTATACGCCTCTGACCATCGCCTCTGGTCACCCACATATAAAACGGCAGAAGTATTTTGTTTTCCTACAGAAGTCTTAAGAAAGTGTCTTACTGAACCCCATTTCCTCTGTCTCTTACCAATACCATGGATAAATCTCTGATTTGCTTTCATCACCGAAATACTCACAATGTTATTTCTTTGACCATGATGGAAGGAGGTCGGTTGAAAGAGTTGTTCTCGTTTATATTATTTAAACTTTGCCAATACTCTTTAATTCTTTTTTAAATTTCCATATTTGACCACAGAGTATTTTTATATCTCCCCTTAATTTTCCCAAGGTTCTCCCTGTCCCAAAATTTCAGATCAGAATAGCCTGTTGTTTTATTCCTGGAGCACTAAAAATACACAAATGAAAACCACATCAGTGGTTTTTAAGCAGTAAACAATAAATAGAAGAGGAAATAATTTGGACAGACTGGCACCTTGCCTGGCAAGTAGGGAAACACTGTGTCAGATCATAAGATATCAAGGCTGAGGAAGCAGCAATAAAGGAATCAGAATTCCTGTTTCTGGTAAAATGAGGGTACAGCATGTGATACCTAATAAAGGAAGTCAGGATACTTTCATAGTTGTCTGCCACTAGAGTGGTCTCTTTTACTGGACCCTCTTCCTCCTCAGTACCACACTATGGTTTTACCTTGGAATTTCAGATAATCAGTCTGCATCCAGTGAGAAACTGAAAAGCTATTACGGTTTTGAAGGTGACAGAATATTTGAAGCTGGCAGAGGGCACATAAATGCACACGAGGGTGTAAACTACTGGAGCACCTAGCCGTCAGTCAGAGAGAATGACACTGTGTTGAGCAAACTGGGATGCTTCACTTTGTATCTTGGTAATGGTAGGAACATTTCATTGATCTAGAGTAGTCAACTGATCTATCAGAGAAAGCAGCTAATTTAGTTTCTTACCATGGGATACCACTGTGATATCTTGTTTGACCTCTTCCTACTCAAAAAGTGTATCTGTGTATTTGTACAACATGTTTTACGGTCAATGTTATTACTTGGTGCTGTCTGTAAGACAAGACTCTGACTTGTCAGAGTCCAAAGAGAAAAGAGATGAATCTGCAAACGTTTCTCACTGCTAACTGGAAATTACATGGGCAGTCCCACAGACTACAGAAGTCCTTGGGACAAGTCAAGACAGCAAGTGCGTCTGGAGATGACTGCATCTTATCTCATTTGACTCTCAATATTTGGGAAAAATGTATATTTCAATATACAATGTATATTTCAATATATGGGGAAAAAATGAAAGCAAGCGGGAAAAATACGATACAAACGGGCTTGCTCCATTTCTTAGAGAAGGGTGGGGAGGAACTGGCTTCTTTTCACAGGAAATCTGTGCTAAATATGTTCCCTCTCTGCAGGTTCAGTTTGCCACTGACAGCTTAATTAGCGTTCCTCAGCAGCAGGGAAACATTCCGATTGACAAAACTTATTGGTTTTGGCTGAGATTTCAGAGTGTTTTCTTTACAATACGTTCCGTGGCTATTTTTAAACTCCTTGCAAAGTTCACAGTTTAGCATTTTGATTCAGAGTGAGATTCATCAACAACAAAAAATGCCGTCACCAGAGTAATGTATTTCTGAGGCAAATGGGAGGCGTACAAAGACCTGAAATACAAGGAGCTCATCTTGAAAGTTGTGACCTATGGCTGTAGCAGCTGCCATATCCTCTCTCAGTCTGAGAAGAAAATGGGGATACTTGGTTGAAGAGGAACCTGAATAGACAGTTTAACAATTGAAAAAAATAGACTGTAAAGTAAAGGTGATGAAAAAGGAAGTGATACCATTTGTAGATAACTTGCAATGATTTTTGCTGTCAATACCAAACAAAACTGCACATAGCTTCAGAGGTACTCAGAAGCCAAAGTGGAGGAATGATAAGGTGCCAGTAAAACTTTGATATTGATGGATATATACTGAAAGGAACAGCCATTACACACCCTACTATAGTCTTATTAACTGCAACAACTCAGAACAAAGATGCAGGAGTCACTGGAACAGGGTAGTGAAACTTCTGTTCCATAGCAGTTAAAAAGGAAGAATGATGAGCTATGTAAGGAGAGGAGAGGCATAAAATTCTCAAAACACCATCGTGTCATTAAATACACTTTGATCTATGCTGGAATGTTGTGTATTGCTAATATTAATACCTAAAAAGAGAGACTGAAAAGAAAATGATTGATTATTATAGAGGAGAGCTAGAGTTAGAAAGGATACAATAGATACATGAGAAATTAAATACTTCCAGCTAATAAACAAAGACTATCAAACAGTATCATCTGTGAGGTCCATCTCTTTGCAGTCTCCAGTGGGCCTTTGTACTTCTGGAACATGAACATATGCTAAACTGATTTTGAAAAATAAAATTAAGCATCTAAGAGAAAATGCAAAAATACTTTGCCTCACTAATTTGATTCAAAGGCATTGACCTAACTTTGCATATTTTGATAGTAGGAGAAAAAATATTCACGTTTAAAAATATTAGTGATTAAAAGCATGTTTGCAGAGTAAGATAAATGGGAAGTCAACAAATACTGATTTCTATAAGGATCTGACAATAACAAAGCATTTATAAACATACTGAAGGGCCTTTACTGAACAGGAAAGCTTTCTTGGGCCAGGACCTAAGTAAGACTGCATTTATTCTTGCTAAGTGGACTCCAGTTATTCACATCATTTATAAGCTTGCCGGTTAAGCATTCTGAAGCAAGGAAAGAAAAACTGAAAGAAAAAAATAAAGTAGTCATATATTTCAAAATGATCATCCCACCACCATCAGTAATAATGGTGAGTAGTGTACGTTTATAAATCTGCCTAAAGCACTTGTAATTTTTGCTTTGTAATAAAATAAGAATGATGCTTTCACATCTCTATTCATTTCTGGAAAAATCCTGCAGTAATATGTACTACACATGAATATTTATCAGAATAAAAATAACTATTATACCCATATTTAATTTTTAATCTGAGATCTTGGATATCATTATCTTTCCTGGTAGTATTCAGAGGAATAATTTCAAAATTTATTAGTGAAAAGAACTGCAAATGAACCATAAGTAAATAGAACAGAATTATCTTTTGCAAAGATCAGAGAAAGGGAGACCAAGGGTATGCAGGTTGCATGTGAAAGCCTACAGAAAATCAGATATATTTAACGCATGACAGACCTCCTTGCTTTGAATTTTGCCTCCAGAGTTCCCACACTCGGGAAATGTGTCTCTAAGCAGCTCCTGTCTCTATGCCTGGGTCCTGGACCGATGTGGTTACATTACAGTCTCAGAGGTGTTTTGTTTTGGTTTCATATTGTTTGCTTTACTGGAAAAGTTTCCAGCTCCAATGGTTACAAGGAAAACAATCTTGAAAACTGAAACCCAACATAGCCCCTGGCAATAACACTGGCCTTCACCTGCAGGTTGGTGACAAGAGAAGAGGATGGGTGAGAGGGCTACACAGCACCAAGGGTTTTGCTTTACAGACCCACCCCTATTTGTCTGCTCCACACACTCATGTGGACGCAACCCCTGATGCCACCTTCACCCTTGAGCTGGCAAGCGCCAACTCCTTCTCTGTGCCCAGCTTTTCTCCTGTCAGGGAAACATGCAGAGCATATGTGGGGAAACCCAGCTCAGGATCAGTCCAGCACAGAAATATCCAAACTAAGTTTTAGCAAATAAGACAAATCAGGATTATACAAAATAGATACCTTTCAAATGTTCATGCACCAGAGAATCAGACAGACCAGGAAACAAAGCATGAAATCGGGAGTGTTACAGCTCATCCCATCAGGTTTTAATTTGCCTAGCCTGGATTTAGCATTTGAGAAGGATCTTACTGACAGCCTTCATTGGCCACAGGATTGCTATTCAGTTGCATAAAGTTAAGCAATAGGTGAATAAATGCTTTCCTGGCTCAAGCTGAAAGGTTTTTCATAGGATAGGACTCTTAGAAATGGCAAAAAACTCCAGACAACTACGTAGTCACTATCCAGGCTACTCAAAGAGCAGCTGCTTTAGTATATTCAAAGAATTTCACTAGTCTAGTTTAAAAATCTCAATAAAGAAAGAACGATCCTTACAAAGCTATCTTCAGGAGCTGTACACCCGATTCCTTTAAAATTAATGGGAGCTGAGCAGTTAAAATTTGTAGGTGGTTTAAAAAACTAAGTGGAGCAACCAGTACAACTGGACGACTATACCACAGATCATTAAATCTCCAATTCATTACATATTCAGCATAAAACTTCCTGTATTTCACTTAGTCCTATTCCTTCTACTTCTATTTTCTGGATCCAAGGCAGTTTCTTTCCCCTGCCATGGTGCTTGAACACCCCACGCACGACAGTCACCTTGTTTGTCAAACACACATTTAGCTCCTTTTAATCTTCATGAATCAATCTCTTCAGACGTTTATACACTTTGTCATTCTCCCCTGAATTCTTTCCAGTGTGTCAACAGCTTTCTGGGTTTGAAGTACCCAAAATAAACACTGACTTCCTTGCCAGTGCCTGATTAACAATCCACAGCCAATATAAGAGTCTCTCTCTCTTGGTGATTCCTAATGTTTTGTTTCATTCCCTAAAAGCATCAGTATTAATAATAATAGCCTACCCCCATCTTAATGATATATGCAGTTCTGTGGAGCTTGGGGGTATCTCGAGGTTTTAATGCATATGCATTATAAGTGTAAGACCTTTTTTTTAGAAAATCCATCCTATTGCGACTGCAGGATATACCCCATCTGCTCTTGAACTCACCTGGCTCTGGGTCAGGCCTTGCTGACTGACACCGGGACTGCCTGCACAAACTGCTGCCGTCATTCCCCATGGTTAATGGTCTAACCAGAGAAAAGTGAGGGTGTGTGGGAGAGTATGGACTTTGGCACCAAGCGCTCTGATTAGGGAACAGGGATGCAGAGGTCTTTTCTTCCCTGCAAACAGAAAATCAATGGAGTTTATTGTGCGGATTTCACACATTTTGTGCATGTAATGTAATGTGCAAAGGACATAAAAAATATGCATAACGTATTTATTATTGCATTATTTATTGCATTGTAGTCTCATACTTATTACTGTATTTTGCATAGATTTACTGTGTTTACTGCACACATAAACTAAATCTATACAATGTACCTAATAAACAGCACACATACATTTGACACATTCTGCATTTAGTTGTCGGTGGAAGAACTGCAACTTCTATACTATTTGATGCATCACATTATAATTTTCCATTTTCAATTGCTTATAATTCTGCCGGATTTGAACTCTTTGTACTGAATTTTCACATAATTTCTCCCTGCCTCTGACTTAGTTTCTTTGGAGAGTTTGAGCAAAACTAATTCAGCCATTTTCAAGAACAATCCTTATGAAGAACGGCCAGTTTAACCTATGCTGAAAAATGCTAATTTTCTGAACATCTCCAGCCATAGCCTGGAGAAGAAATTTAGAGAACAGCAATTAGCCCAGACACAGGAAGGGTCACCAACTTTTTTTGTGAAAATACATCCAGACAGGCTAATCTCTTATTTTTGAAATACTTAACTCCTCTGCACACGTTTTTGCGTCATGAACCTCGTTCAAAAACCCCTGGAACCAAAATTCTGGAGGGTACTTAGGAAAAGCCACCAATATTGCTTTCCTTATTCAAAATCATCTATGGCTCTCCTGACTGAGACCTGGGTGCTCAGTCTAAGTCCACAGCCAGATCAAGGAAGCATATTGTTTTTCACAGTGCTGTTAATTCTAAATTTGATACAAATGATGTTAGAAGGCAGTTTTGAAGCAATTTAGAAAGCAGTGGTTATCAATCTCTAGCCCAGTCTAAAGCGTAATGGATTGAGAGAAGACTGAGTTCAGGCCTGCATTTCCCGAGATGAAGGTAAATAGTTCTGTGAACATCAACGTTTTTGTCCGAAAACTTTCCAAGATGTGGATTCTGAATAGTGCCTTCCATGCACTTGGGGTATGAATAATACACAGCGATAAAGTCATATTTTAAGAATCTTACCTGAATTTTACTTTCCATTTAGTCTTGACTGAAAATGTATGCACTCTGGCATGGATCCTATAAGGTGTTCTAGGTTAGATTCCTTGTTGAAGATTAAGGTTAATTCTCATTTTCAACACTCCAAAACTTTTACAAAATTGCTTCCCAAGATGCTCATTTCAAAGCGTTCACTTACAGAGCCAGGCTGGCTCTACGCTGTAATTACAGAGTACACTCAGTGAAGGTTGGATACCTTTTAATGAAGCTTTGTCTTTTTTTTCCTTTTTGCCCTGGGTCAGCCTGTTTCCACTCTGTGTCAGTTATTGTAGTTTCCTGTTCCTTTTCCCATCCCTCTTTCTGCTTCGCTCTTGAGGAAGATGGTTTAGCGATGTTCTCTAAGTTTTCCCTTTCTTCTCTCACCACCCATCCCTGCCTTCTGTTGCCGTGGAGAGGAGTATACCAAGCAACAGCCTGAAAAAACAACATACATATCATTGGTTATTTGTGTTTTGCATGTTCTCATCAAGATAATTGCCTATGGTAGAAAAACCAGGAAGGGCTGAAAAGGCAGGTGCTCCAAGGTATTTCTGAGTCATCAGTTTTGAAAGACAAATATTAATGGCATCCACCAAATTCTGGACTTTTTCTTTGGTCTTTAAAATCTTTTTGCAAACTTCAAATGTATTTAGGGTAGGTTCATCACGTAAGAGCTTTGAAATCTCCACTGCTTCGATTAAGTGCAACAGACAAAGAAGACGACAAAAGGAGATAGGACAACTCTGTAAGTATGTCGGAGGCTGTTGAAGAAAGAAAGAGAACAATCTGTTCTCCATGCCCACAGTGGATGGGACAAGAAGGAAAGAATTTAAACTGAGGCAACAAAAATTCAGTTTAGGCTCTACGAAAGCTTTTCTAGCCGTACAGAGAGTGAAGCACTAAAGCAGATTGCCTAGGGACATGGTGCAGTCTCCATAATTGAGGGTCCTTCAGAATCATCCAGGCAGACACCTGCCAGGAACCATCCAGCCAGAGTTAATCAAGTTTCTGGTTCTCTTCCAGCCTCTGACTCCCTGGCACCAGTGTAATAGCGAGTATGGCCAAACTGAGCAGAAAGAGGAGGGAATGCAAAAAGGTGAGATTAAAAGTCAACATTCACTTAGTAGTTTGTAATGAGTAAATTATGTTGCTTTAAGGAAGCTGTATAACTTGCATTGTTTATGAAAATCACAAGTCTTTCACTTATACAGTTACTGGTTCAAGCTTGGTTAAAAATGACCAAAATTATAGTTGCCACTGGTCAGCTACAGGGTAAAAAATGATCTTGGCCACTTTCTCATTTTTAAGAAAACAAAAGTTTGCCTAAAAAAAATCACAGTAGCCAAGCTGATGGCAGTTACTAATGGGCAGCCATGGGCTGAATAGCCCTGGGTATAGCTGGACCTTTCCTGGCTGAAGCACAGTGGAAGGGGGTATGCTGGCAACTTGTGCTTGTGGGGCCTATGTTTTAAGAGTGCTGTGGATACTAGCCTTTGCTCAACATGTTTTTCATCAGCCTACCCGTTTTCTTCAGTCCTTCAGATCCTAATAAATAACATCCAAACTTAAGCAAGGCTAACAGATATCACAGCTTTGCTCTGTTTAGTTTGCCTGGGCTTGATTATACAAGGAGTTTAACAATATGATCCTAAACCTTTTAAGCAAGTCCAGAGATGGCTGTCTAGGTGAAGAAATACAGCGATTTTGTCCAGGGCACTCACTTGACCGCTAGGTTCACAAAGAATGGTAGCACAGTTGAGGCCAGTCCCAAATCTCTCCAGGTCTTTCCAAAGAAAATCAGAGGGAGGTTTGTGAGGCACTTTAGCATCTGCTGCCCAAACCTGTAAAGATCAAGGAGCCATCAGATTAAAGAGAAAAGGTCTCCTGGATATTTATTTAATATATGGACTCAATAAAAGCATCAGGTTTTCCGTTTTCTTTTTGATTTCTGTAACACTGTTCACCATTTTATCTGTGAAATCAAAGCTGAAAGAACTGCATTTCAAGATTTTGCTGCTTAGTTATACTGATTATTTTCAAGTACCTCTCCTGTGGATTAACAGAGATTAGCAAAGGCACATTTTTCAAGACGTGGTAGTAGGTCCAGCACTTTTTGGCCTGGCTTGCTGAGAGTAAAATTAAAAATAGGTAGTTTATTTTATTTTCTGAATTACTTGGGGCATTTTAAGAGATCTGTGATATCAGCTTTAAAATTCCAGTCCCTGCTTGATTCTGGATTCCCTCTATTCAGGGAGAAGCTGTCTCAGTTGGGGACTAGAAAATTTTTGTACTTTTGCCTTTACACGAAAGATTTAACAACGCTATGCTTTAGAAACTTAACACAATTATTTGTGACCTTTATTACCAACACGGTAGCAAAAGGACCCATTATGAAAACATTTCTCTTATATAAGACAACCACAGCACACTTTTGCAAACAGTGTTCCTAAAGGATTTGACGTTTGCCATCTGTGAGAAAATATCTTTTAACTCTTTCCTGGAATCCAAAACAATTCTCATTCAATTTTAAAGGAGAAGTATCTTAAAAAAAAAAGTGCTCTCTTCCAAAAGTGCTCACCATACGGCCCTCTGCCAAGGTGTATTTGTGGCTTTTTCAGATGTACATCTCAAGACAGCAGTGAGCGTGACTCTTCTGGGCTCCTGCCAGCTTGCATTTCCAGTAGTCTCACAAGAGGGCTCACACAGGGCAATGCTGAAGTTGGTTGATTAAAGTGGACTTTTCCTCATTTTATTCTGCAGGGCCTCAGTTTTCATCTCAAAAAAGGAAACAAGTCCTGGTGGCAAAAGAGGCTTTGGGCCATGCTCCAACCATCTACTCTGGCGTCTAGCTTGACTGTTTTGCCTAGTTTCATCTGTTGATCTCACAGGGAGCTAGGATTAGGAAGTTCTACGTAACTGTCTGTTGACACAGACACTACTGTACATGAATTTTAGATGCAAACGTAGGCAGGCTGAATATAGCCCTTCGAAATTAATAAACCAGCAGAAATGTCCTGCTTGCATTTGCTGAAACAGCAGCTGTAGTGGATCTTCTATGCCAGTCAACTGTTCACCCAAAAGTCCTTTAATGATCATTGGAACAGCAACCTTGTAAATGCCTTCAGCGGTGATCAGAGCACTTCAGAAAGCTGGGAAAAGTGAGTCCAAATTTTTTTTTTTCCTGATGGTCGGAGCATAAAAGCCAGCTAAGAGGAGACCATTTCTGGGGAGCTCTGCAAGGCGTCTTGCAGCCAGCCAAGCAGCAAGCACCTTTATGCAGCACAGCAAAGGCTGTGTCTGGTCAGAGGGTGGGTATGGTGCTCGGTATTTTCGTCCCAGAGGTTGCTGGAAGCTGGCTGCCCGCACAGGCAGATGTTCTTCAGCTACACTTACGACTGAGCTTTGATCACATTTAGCTCACATGTCCAAGCCTTTTTCATTACCATGGATGTCAAATGCATATTTATGTTGTTTTCTATTTAAAGCTTTTCTGGGTTATGATGACGTCATCTGACTCTTGGCATCTCAGATCCTATCTACCTCTCTATCTCTCATTCAAGCTGTCAAAAAGGTGCATCTGAACTCCTTGGAGGGGAAGCCATTTCTGAAAAGCAGCAACCCGTGTACTTGATTTTTAACGTATAGTTCTGACACAAAATCAAAGGAGAGCGCATCATTATCTTCACTTTTTCAGAGTGGGAAGCTAAGGCACAGAGATTTACTATTTGCTTAAAGTCAGCCAAAGCACAGCCAGGAAGAGAACCCCAGTGCCAGAACACTGGCTTATGCCTTTCTGTGCTAGATCACAGCTGTCCCCAGATGGTGTGCACAGGCTGGAAAGTACCATATTCTTTATCTTTACTTCAGCTGAGACCCTGCTACAGCTGCACCTCGGACTATACACAGAACCATATTAATGGCATGTGGGATACAGGGCATCAGTTGCAAATGCAATTTGTTTCCTTTCCAATTCTATTGTTTGTGGGTGTCTAATCCAATTCATATTGGATCACCCAATCCTGATGCAGTCCATACTCACTGTTGCCAAAAATTGGCTTGACTGACAATAATCTGACAGCATGGAGAGCTTCTATGCAAGCAGTGGTTGGGCATACAAAGGTATCAAACAAGGACTTTGCAGGATAGCTTTCCATTGCTGGGCAGCATGAAATGCTGGATTTTTCGTGAAAATGCCAGGCTTGCACTGGTCGTGAGCAATAGCAGCTTCTTTTGGATTCATTGTGATTTGTGATTTGTGAATGTTAATCCTTCTGAAAATATAAAACTTTAAGTTCAATTCAGGCTAAGAGTGTAGCCCTCATCTGCCGGGCAGAGGCTGAGAAAAGGGATTGTGGCAAGACACTCAGACCCCCTACACCCTCCCTCCCCAACACACTTACTGTCACAACAGAGCCAGCTGCCATCCTGATCTTTGGGGGAAACCGGAATACAGCCACTGGTTGACCTTGGACATTCTGCATCAGGAGATGCTCTCCAATGCTCTCCTCTTTTTCAGAGGCACAGTTCAGGATCTTCACAAAATGACCACCTGGATGAACTTCAGCAATTTTCAAGTTTCCAATAGCACTGAAAGAACAGAAGTAGATTCAAAAGTTTGAAAGCACTGCTTAATTGAAAAAACAGCCATTATTTCCTTAAAAGCACTTGCCTAGATGTCAGTAATTAAAAGTAAGTAAATGTACCACAGGTAGAATATTTACAGCACTGCCATTTTACCTTTTATTCAGTGACTTTCTCCTAAAAAAACCTGCTTGCATTAAAATTAGCATATCCTACTTATCTTCCACACTTAGGGAGCATCCATTACCATCAGAAATTTAAAAATTTCTTGCGGGGCAAAAAGGCACCACTATACCATTTGCACTGGCTTTTGTCTAAATCTATATAGGATACCACCTCTAAGGCTGTTCCTTCCATCAGTTAGTCTTTATCCTCCTGGCTCTCACTCTTCTGTGTGGGTAACGGTTTTGCCCTTGCCACATTTGTCATGTTCCTGTAAGTTTAAGTCATGTACGTCTGTGTGTATAGAAAAGGTTGACCCAATAGCCCAGACAGCCTATGTGTTTGCTTAACACAGCAAAATACTAATCGACAGTGTGACAAATACTGCCCACCCACCCCAAATAATTCAGCTGTGCGGTGTACCAGTGAGTCATGCTTGCTCATGACAGCCAGGCTGCCTGTGGGCTGCCGCGGGCACTGATGAATTTGAAAGCGGAGCCAGGGGAGACCTGTCCCCTCCCCGGGTAGAGAATACAGGCTGAGTGAGTCTCTCGCCTTGCTGCCTCTCCTCTCCCCTCTTGCAACCTTTGGGGACTCCAGAGCGTTCCCCCTCCCATTCACGTCCTGGTCTATTTGCAGTTTGGCAGGGAGAGACCCAGAGACAGCTTCGCAGAGAGGCAATGCCTCGGCAGGCTTTTGGCAGCAAAGTCAGGTGAGGAAGTTGTTCCTCGCATTCACACGCTCCTCCCTCTTCTGGCTACTTCTTTTCACCCAGCCACCAGAGTTTGCCACCTTTCTCCCTTCCTCCCTGCTTGTGGGACCCCATTCTACGCCGCATCACTGTAATAACCAGTTGTTAAAGAGTTTGGGGGACATTATTTTAATCTGACTCTTTTCAGCAGGCTGCAAACCACTGTATCAGTACAACAGAAGGGCTGGCAAACCGTGCCCGAGAGCTGTTCAAAATGCTGATGCAGAGAATGATCCTGCGTGATTCCTGGAGTTGTAAGTCATCATTTACGCATGGGTAAAGCAGGTGGAAAACGCTACCTCTCAAATCCACAGTTGCTTTCTATGGCGCTACAGCCCCTGAGCTCCAGCGGTGGGCTAGGACTCCACTGGGCTTGGTGCTCTAAAAACAGAACAGCAGCATTAAAAAGAAATTCCTGCCATTTCTGCCCTCTCAAGTGGTGTAGAGCCCGTTATGCCAATGGGAGAAAGCCTTTTAAACTCTGTAGAGGGCAAAGGTCTTGCTGATGGCTCTGAAGTTTGGCTAGCTTGTCCTCCCATTTCTCTCCATCTGCCAGAGGAATGTGGAAGTCTGTGCAAAGGAAAAGTCTTGGGTGCCAGAATGTATCTAGGAGGAGGAGAGGGAAAAGCAGATGGGGAGAGGAATCTCTTAAAATGGTCTTAAAATGCCATTTTTATTATACAACTTTGTAAACAGCAGGATCCTAGTTGTTAACAGAGTGAATCATGAGGGTCTAGGGTAGTAAGTGTTGAAGCCTGACCTTAATAAGGCTTCAGTTTGGCCTTAATGAAGCCAGGGAGACTTGAGAACATAAAATGGAGCTCAAGTTTGTGATGCAATGGAGGGCATTGCTAAAGGAGCAGGTAATAGGACATGGGAATTTGGGACCGGAAGCTGCTGAAGACAGAGGTTTCAGGGAAAAAAGTGAAACATCTATGACTTTTAAGAATTTGCACAGTCAGCTAGTCACTGGATGGCAACAGACTTCTGTGGGTTTAAATGAGGGAATAACCTCTCTAAGACGTTAACTGAAGGCTTTGAAGCTCTTTTTAGCAAGTTAGTTTATGTTTCAAAATACTCAACCAGCTCCTGGGAGACAGGAGCTGAAGTGCTAAAGTGCATGGAGGAGAGGTCAGTGTGCCTTGCTGCTGTACTTTCTTCTGCTACGTGCTAATATTCTGTGTTGGAACAGTCTCCAAAACTATGCATAACACACACAAAGCTGTATGTTGCCACAGGAGAGAGAAAATGTCAATGCCCTTAGCAGCACAGGGCACATCAGCCATACGCCTGTGAGCTGCCATTAGGATGCCATTTGAACTGGTCTGCTCTGCACTGGTAGAGGTGGTAACGTGGCATTTTAACTCTAAAATATGCCAAGAACTGAAGTTTTTCTAAGGAGATATGTCTTTAGGAAAGTTATAGATTGATACAAATACTATGTTGGGGAAGGCTTGCCTCCAGGAGTGCAAATCTGTTTATTTGTATGCCAACGGATTTAATTACATTAGAGGGATAGGACAGGGAAAGTCCTGGGAGAAGGCACAGATCCGTATTTGCTGAAGGTTGCAAAACGTAGTACATAGTAGTTGTAGACCTGAAATGCCAAGGTTCAACTGAGATCCAGAGTGCTTTACAGATCAGGGCTTTGACTTAACTCATCTTCAGTGAGTGTGTATCATGCGCACTTAATTACAAAATAGATACTGATGATTTTCAGTACCCAGAAACAAAACTTTTTTCTTATGTTCTGCAAAACTGTCACTCCAAAAATACAGTGCTTTAACACTGCTCAGGTACAAAAACTAGAGAAAGAGTTAGTACAACATTCGCATGAAACACACAGTGGCTGTCTCTAAACATTAGTGCCAGGACATGTGACAACACTACCACCCTCGGTGAATAAACCTGATGCAATACCTGGCCTCAACTCCCGTTTCTCAGGATCTGTTATTTAACAGTGTAATTAAACATATAAACATAAAGCACTGTAAGCATTTTCATAAATCACTCTCAATGGCAAAGGCTTGTAAATTAAATTAGATTACAAACAAGAACATCAGAATATCCCAGCTGGCCGAAACCATGTATTTCTACTAAGTTTGTGTATACTTGCACTGTGGCTTCAACACAAATTAGATCCAGATATACTAATCATCAGCTCTGTATAGAACTATTACTAAACTATGTGTCCACGCTATATCTTCACACTAACTCAGAAGCTGTTGTACAATGCAATATCAAATTAAAGGACTGGGCACTGTGTATTACAATGCAATTTTATTTCCTTAAGGTCTCTACCAAGAAAAGGTAGCCTTTAAATTCAAAGTGAGTGAAGTAAAAAAGGGTGCTAGTGTTCTGGCATTGTTGAATACCATAACAGTAAGGAACCAAATGAGAATAAAAAGAATTGCCTAATTTGTGCATTTGACAAGTTTAACCACACACAAAGCAAACTGTCATCACCTTTCTATCTTCAGCGATTAGCAGAGCTAATGATTTCTCTTGCTTTCTGTGTGAGACAAGACAGCGTGACTCAATCCTCACTGGAAAATAGTTCACACAATACAAGGAAACGCATAAAGGGGAAGGTAATCTCTTTTGTCTCCTAGTGTTTATCTAGAGGCTTTCTCCCCAAACTCGGTCAAGCAGTACAGCGTATCTCATTATTTGGAAACAGCTGTACAACTCCGAACATAACAGGAGTTTTCTTGCTGGCTTCCAAAGGTATCTTTCCTTACAGCTCTCCCTACGATGTCCTGAGAATTACACAGATGTTATTAAGGAAACATATGTATGAAGCACCGTGGGTTTACAAAGACTAAGTCCGTGAGAGAAACTCATGTAATATTGACAGAACTACAAAATGAATGAGGCAGGGAGAGCAGCAGGCATCAAAGAACTGGGACTCAGAAAAGCATTTGATAAAGTGCCTCTCAAAATATTATCTCCCATTGGCTTACATATAAATATAGTCATAGGAACTATCTGAAGGACTGCAAAGAAGGAATAATAACAGATGAGGGGTCTGGGTCTCATATGGTACCTATAGGGACTGGGGGTAGCTCTCATTTCATGGAGCATTTCCACTTGTGATGCGGAAAGGGGAATAAAACAGCTGGTTAATAAAATATGTAGATAACATTAAGTCGAGAGGAGAGGGCAGGGGAACACAAATGAGGACAAGAGAAATAGTACAGAGAGTCCTGGATAGCTTAGAAATACGGGCAGGAAATAAGTGAGATGAAGCTCTTGGAAAACAGTAAACTAATTTATCAGTAGGGAAATAACATTCACTGGGGGAGAAAAGTACGGAGAGCAATAAGGCTGAAAGAAGGCTAGGAGGAAGTCAATGACGCATTTGCAATGTGATAGAAGGAAAAAGGCTGTTACGGTTTTATGGCACCATCCGTGCTAAGCTGGAAGCACAGAGAGTGGAAGTTTCCCTTTGTACAGCTGCAGAGAGGGGAAACTTGAAAAACTGATCCTGATTTTCACTTGCAGCAGTGTGGCTTCACTAGCTGTAAGAAAATTCCTCCTAAATCCTCCTCTTGTCAGGAGTAAATCTGGAAGAACAGAATTCTCCCACTTCTAACACAGGCAATACAGAGTTCACCCACTCCTCACTTCTTGGCCTAAGGCACCAAAAAGGTCATCTCCTCCATGAGGCTTTTTTTGTTTTGTTTTTAAATGGTACATTACTAGAAATGCTGGACTCAGGCTGGCACAAGACCAGAAAAAAATGCATTCAGTTCATTTTAGGACACTTTGTTACCAAAAAATTATTGACAGTTAGGAAGGAATGCCAGAGGGGTATCAAAATGATGAGGGATCCGGGGGCTAATTTGTGAAAAAAAGACTAAAAGAGCTAAAATGCTTGTCTTAACTAGATAATCACAGAGGGAATAGGGTCATGTGATATAAGAATGGGTATGGCTGATGAGTAGAAAATCCCAAAAAGGCAAAGCATTTTCAGGCTGAACTACCGCCAGTGAAAAAGCACTATAAAAGTTGGATGTTCTGAGAGATATCTTAGCAATAAGCATGTGCAGCCCTGTCCACTGAACCATGTGATAGCAAATAGTCTCTAGGAGACAGTGTCCACACCGGGGCCAGCCTTTACACTAGAGCTGCCAATTGTCATCATGTTTCTGAAGGAGGTAGAGCTAAGATAGTTACTCCAGCTGAGGAACTATTCTGATAGGTCTTTCCCACCCTGGTATCTGCAAAGCTAAATTAACTATGGCAAATGCCTTTCTGTGAAAAGTAGCTTATCCAGGAGATAATACTTTATTTTTTTTAATGCCCTTTCTAGGTTGGTATAAATTATGTAAAGCCCAGTTCACTCCCATGGTTGCCTTGCACTGCCTGAAATAGCTTTATGCAGCCCACATGGTGGAACCCTCTGAAATCCTCTGCAGTGTCAGTTCTACTCTTGGATTCAAAATTTGGTGGCATCAGTTGAAGACAAGGCCAAACCAGCCATGAGCTACAGTGTTTCAGTTCCTTTTTCGGGCTGCATCCACAAGCAAGGTATCGATGAAGCCCTGGGCAGAATGCAGTAGCAGATACTGAAAGGGACATGGTGATGAAGGGTGATTTACCCTTTCTGAGGGTGAATTCAAATTTGGGGACAGTTGCCCCTAAAGCAGTGAGATCCTTACATTTCAAAGCCTTTGAGGTTCTCCTATGTCCTCTTGGATAATGACTCAGTCTCTCATCAAGGGTTTGCTTGTGTTTCGCTACTCCCCTGAAGGAGGTACTGCAGGAAATGCTCTCTCTTCCCTACAAAAATAAACTGCATATACCTGAATGCAGACTTTTGGTAGTCTTCATAAACAGAACGCATCCTTCCACAATTGTCCATGAATCCAAGGCTCTGGGCAAACTTCTGGTCAGCAAATGATGGGCAAAGGTTTCTTAATGGAACAGGGTTCCAGTGTGATATTTCAACACGATCTTTGGGCTGAGCTGATGAGCAAGCAAAAGACAAAGATGTTGAGTGATGCAATATTAACAAAAAGACAAATTATGAGAAACAACCCTTTTCCTTTTGGTAACAAACATGGCACATTTAATTTCCTCTTTGCCTCTAGTGGCAAAGCGGTGCTTAACAAACCCTTCTTTCAAAGCTTTAAACCAATGGCTATAAAACAGAGCACAGCTGGTAAAGTGAATATTTTGTTGCTGACATATAGATTTATTACCTCACTGGAATTACCTTGGGTAGCTAAAAAAAATAAATTATGCCATCAGTGGTATAATTGTCATCCTGCAATTTCAGTGCGGTTAAAAGGCATAGCATCAGCTGTGAGCTGATAATGAATATATCAAGGCTCCCTTCCGCTTACAAAATGAATGTGATAATATCCACTAACCCCTTTATGTTCCCCTTTTCAAATATAACTGTCCAAGAGGGACCATGAGGAACTCCCCAGCCTGGCAAAGACAGGGAGAACTGGAGAGAGGGAACGTACCCAGTGAACCTGACCTTCACTAAGAAAATTCTTTTCACCTCCCATACCAAAGTCTTCCCCAGGAACTAAATCCTTTTCAGTGTCTGTTCTTCAAACTACGTATTTGAGATCTCCTTCGATATTATACCTTGGATGTCATCTGAGAGACTCACTCTGCCAGGCAGCCTATCCTAACCAGATCCGATGGGGCAGTGAGCAGCCTGAGTTGTTTGGAGAGGATCTATCCCTCATCATACCTTGGCCCTGAAATGACTGGACCAACCAGCTTCATTAGGCCAAATGTCTGGGCCAGAGAACGCCACTGCAATGCGGATTAGCTTCACCAGCTCACTGGGACTGCTGTCTCTAACTAGATGTACAGTGTTACAGTTTTCCATATGATTTTTTTAAGCCACAAAAACCAAGATGTTTGAATTTCTGTAGTCCCTTCTCCCCGTGCATTTCCTCATGGCATGGCAGTGTCACAGCATCGAACACTGTTCCAGGGTCATTTGCAATCCTTTCCCTTGGGATACTGAGGGACGCACTGTTCCTCTCCTGGGACAATGAAGCAGGTTCGCCTTCCCTTGGCAAATAAACAGTGAGCGGTAGCCAAGTGTAACAACACAGGAGTAATTAGGAGACTGAATGCTGCAACACAAGTGGTCTAAAGAGAGAGCTACAGCAGGTGCACAACTTAACAGAGTGTGAATTTTGTAGAGGATGAACCGAACCAGGAAACATGAAAGAATGGCATTTGGGGATTTGGTGGCAGAGGAACAGCGCAAGGGGCAATGAGTACCATAAGCCGGGAACTAGACATGTTGGGCTTTATTTCTCTGGGCTGGAGCCGTTGTTAGATCTAACATTCAGAGTGGCAGGGGGGGCGGGCGGACTGTGTTGAAGCTGCTTTTCAGTGATGTGTCAACAAGCCAGTCTGTTTCTTAGATCAGACTGATGGTTGCTTTTTCTGTTGCTAGGATCTGGGCTCCTTAAAAGGGGCTTTTTGAGAGCCTTTAGGAGGGGCCCTTACGCTGCTGAAATCCAGTGGGATCATGTGACTAATTCTTTGGAAACTACTGTCTACACCGTGGTAGCACTCCTCAAGCACTCAGCAGGGGAAAATGCTCCAAGGGATCCCTCCAGGAGAGTGTCTCTTGGGCAGACAAAGTCTCTGGCCCTGTGGCACCCTGACCTCTGGGAAAGTCCACCTCCATCAGTCATTAAGTGGCCTTAAGTAGTTCACCCTGATGCACCAGCTCTGCTCTGTTGGTTAATGAAGTCCTGGGCTCTCCCTACCTTTTGCTGTGTCATGGCTGTACCGCTGACAAGAGAAAACCTACATCCAAAAATCCGCAGTGAAGTGGTCCAAAAGCTCTTCTGAGATGGGGGAAGCCCTGAATTCAAACCCACCCTCCCCAAATCAGGGCAAGGATTTTAATCATAGCTTTCCACTTAGCAGGGTGGCTGGATTTCCAGGCAGTGGTGGGGAGGAGGGACGTGCTCTGTCAATAAATCCTGCTGTCTAACATGTTTACTGACACCCATATGGGAACAGAAGAGGAGGACTTGAAGCTGGTGGCTAGCACATGCTCCAAAGGGGTGGAACAGCAGAGGCCACTGCTCACCACATATCTACCCCATATCGTATGTAGAAGAGCTTCAGCAAGAGGGCCAGAGGGAAACTGAGCACAAAACATGGTCTAATTTGTTTGAAGCGGATCAGTACGTTCAGAAACAACTGGGAGGACAGACACGCATGCATAAGCACAGACGGAGGTCACATCAGCCTCTTTTTCCTGGAAGACCAGGCTAATTCCACGCTTTCACATTTTTTTTCCCTTCAGCCTCCTGTTTAGGACAGGAGGAGTTAGCTGAACTCCTTTCAGAGAGCAGTCAGAAATCAGATTGGCGTCTTTCCCTGTGTTCTAATCTCTTGGGTAAATTTGATCCTAATTCATCAATACTTTTGGAGATAATCAAAATTGCACTTTCTGGAAAAGGAATGTAAACTTCTCCCAACTAGGGGCACACGAGTGCAGCTGGAATAAGCTACTCCCAAACTCTTCATTGCAGTGCTGTACCAAAGCTAAATGTTTTGATTTGGTTCAATAGGCAGCAATGAAACATTTCGACCGAAAGTGTTTGTTTAGGTCGAATGAAACATCTCGACCTTTCCGAACACACTGTTCCACGAGCAGCTGAATTAATGAAGCCTGCTTTCTAATGACTTTTTCCCTTCATTCTCCTCCTCCATCCCCCCGCCCACAGCCCACATCACCGCTGCATGATGTGGATTCTCTGATGGCTAATAAATGGGAAGGGGCTGGGGGGCAAGATATATCAACCTTTTATTCCATAGGAGCACTAACAGGATCTCTCACCCCAACTGACTGTCAGTCTTTACAAACCATGTAGGACCTCATCCCTGAGGAAACTATCCCCATGACAATTTCAGAGGGAGAAACCGGCCCATGTATTTCAAAGTTATTAAGGTCATTAGAGAAATGGGCACACATACACACCAGTATAAATACATACCACAATAACAAAAAATTGGAATTTTTTGTTTTCCCCCAAAATGTCAATGTTTCTATTTTTATCACTGTGCCACTCTTTGCAGGATGGTGTGTAAATCCCATAATATGTTTAGCAACATTGCTCTGATCTCCATAAACACAATTAAAGAGCATTTAAAAATCTTTGGGGACAAATATGCTTTAGAAGGATTCACAAATGTAGCATCACCACAGAGGAACATAACAGAGTCTTATCCTCCTTCTCCCATGAACCTCTCTCCCTCGAAGGGGTGCTGACACAAATCCCTAACCAGCAGCATAGCTTCTTCTCTGACTTGCCTTGTCTTTTTGGGGGACACCAAGAGATCCTGTGCTGCAAGACTGCTAGTGACAGCCAGCTGCCCTCTGTCTCACTATGCAATGTTGGGGAAAAATGACACAGCAGAGGGAGGCAGAGGGCACAGACTCTCTATGGACATTCAGGCTACTCTCAGCCCTGGCTGTGATCTGTATAGCCTCAAGAAACTATAGCAGAGGGAAAAGTCGAATGCTTACTGCTCAACAGCTTATCCTGGTCCAGTCACTGCTCCCAGCACATGTACATACAGCTTTTTACAAACTTTTTCCAGGCTTCAGCACTGCTTGGAGCACAGTTACAGATTTTTCTACACAGGAAAGCTAACCTTATTATAATATAAGGTATGAAAATATAAGACCCTTTTTATATATGGATTCCTTATTGTGGCTATAACAATAGTGAAACACAAGGGAATAATAACACTTAGCCCAGAGAAAACAGAAATACTCCCTACCACCTGAGGCCCCACTAGTCACACTCCTGTTTAGAGGCAGCTGATCAGTCCCAAGCAGAGGGAGGATGTGAAATGGGAAGTCAGCTGCTTTGTTCCATTAGTTGAAATGCAATCAAAGCCTCCTCTCCAGCCATGGGGTTATATTGCCATACTGTGTGCACAGGGACGTATGAAGGGCTGTGTTTTCCTGTCCTAACTAAGCACCAGCCAAGAGTCTCCAGAGGCTTACCTACGGCTCTTCTCCAGGAAGCCTGAGCCAGGTCAGCAGGTCGCACCAGGCTGGAGGCGTCTGTGGTCTCCACGGCAGAGGCAGGATGAGATGAGTCCATAGAGCACATGTCTGAAAAGCACCTTGACCTATCTGCTGCTGTGGAGTGTAGAGTAATAGAGCCGGGGATTGATTGCTCAGAAGACAGCTGGAAGGACATTGTCTCTGTTCTGCAGGAAAAAATGACTCTTTAGTAATTTATCAGGAAAATGGTCTTTAAAACAGAGGATCAAAGCACACATTGACCTCTTCAAATACTAAATAAATAGGTAAATGCAAGCAGGATCTCACAAGGGACAGGCCACATCAGGGCTAACCTGGAAAGTGACATCCCAATGTATTCCTCATTTTAAAGTGGATACACTTCTAGCTGAGTAGCACTGCACCACAATACAGCCAGAAAACCTATCCTCAGTTCTGAGCAATATGCTTGCACCATCTAATGTGTCTACACACTGGGCTGACGACTTGTCACATCCTGCCATCTGGGTAGGTCCATATCTGTGATTAGATCTCTGGGTTCCTTTAGGCTATCAAAGCTGCCAGATAATGGCAGCTTTGACTGCAACCTATTACTCTAATTCTCTTCTGCATATTATCATGGGCAGAAGCAGACAGACTCAGGCATGTAGTGCCTGCTTTCTGGGCCAGATGAACCTAAGCCATTTCCCACCTGGAAGCCACCTTGCCAAGTCAGCACAGCACAATGTCCTAACTAATATACCTGCTTATCGTAACAGGGCTACGCAGCTTTTGGATCAAACTAGCTTATGTCCATCCTGCTGGGAGCACAGGCAGAGGAATTTGGGTTTATTTGTGTTTATTTTTCCTAGACATGCTTCCAGGTGCCAACTGTGTGTACTGCTTCCTGAAAAGGACAACAAGACTGTGGTTGGAGAGGCACCTGACAATTTGCCAGCACAGCTAAGCTGCAGTGCCATGCAGTTTGTAAACATCTTCCACCATGATTTGATAGGATTTGCCGTGTTCCCATATACTAAGCCCTTCAGCTGAAAGTCTTCGTCCTCCTCTTGAAGTTAAATAGTTATGGGGGTCCTTTTAAGTCATCCAGAGGACCTTGCATAATTCCTTCACGTGGCACTGAAAGCTGCTGCTGGAGAGTCAGGACGGCAAGAGGGGTTCAGGGGAGGGAAGAGGTGAACAGTGGTGCTGTCCCCAGGCTAGTCTCGGCTTGTGGGACAGGATATGAGGGGCCATTGCAAAGGGGCGAGCTACATATCTTGTGAGGACAGTGCGCTGCCCAAGCAAGAGTTGTTCTCTGCAGTATAATTTCTCTGTTTCGCTCAAGGCTTCAGTCCTTTGCAGCACCTATCAGACTGGCTGTGGCATGGCAACTCAATGAGCCTTAAGTGGCCATTTAAAGCATGGAGGCATGTAACTATCACATCCAGGTCTGGCAGTCTGATATAACTTACATCCTTATGCACTTTTTAAAGGAACTTATGTGACTGGAGACAGCACTTGGGCATGTGCATAGCTATGTGCCTGTAAACACAGAGGCACTGTCTGCAGGCACCCACAGCAACTGTCACTCTCTGGATTTTCCCAGATTTACGCCATGAAACAGGACAGCAGGAGGCTCTCCACAGTTCAGGATTGATACGTGTAGGACTTTTTTAATTAGAAAATTCACAGCTCAATAGCATCAGTTGAAAACCACAAAGGAAAAAAAAAAAGCGTCTTTGTATTTCTGCCTGTAAATACTCCCAAGAACACTATTTTTAGTCATGGCAACACAGCTGAAGCTGACAGTGTACAACCTGGTTTTCAGGCCTCAGTGGCAGGAAGAGGGTTTCTTTCCCAAGCATCTGGCTTTCATCCGGGTGGATACACTTGGTCAAGCCATTTATTTTGTGAACTCCACCTGCATGTATGTGTATATGCTTCTCACTCGGTGTGGGCAGGTAGAAGTGAGTGTTTGCTGTACGCTGAAGAATTTTAAAATGAACTTAATTACCTCCTGCTTTCAGCTACAGCAGTACAAGTCCACAGCAATTTCAATAACTTCAGTGAAATCACTTGTAAGCTCATACAGGTGTAAACGACAGCAAAGCTGAATGCAAAGCAAGGCTCTTTTCAGTATCAGCCCACAGGAAATATGTAGAGAGATTGGCAACCCTCTTATTCTAATACCTAATAAAAACTCTGCTTGTGCAATGAATGACATCTACAAGTATTAGGCACAGAACCATATTGTGAAATCTAAAGTGCAGTTAAATTTGTTCCGGTCTTAGTACCAGACAGAAAAAGAGGATGTTAAACTGTCTACCTCACCCTGCCATTCCTCCGAGTACAAATCCTAATGCTTGTGTTGCACGTTGTGATTAAACAGAGGAGTGCACCAGCCTCCCAGCGTTGCAAGAGGCGGCTGATGACAGCAGTAGTACTGTGGATGACACATCACAACCAAAATCACTAGAATTTGTTTTCCACACCAATTTCTGCAGTTTCCAGTCAAAAACCCTGTGTTGATTAAAATGGCTTGGAAGCTCTTTAACACATCAACTTGCATATGGTCCCAGCAGACAGAAAAGGATAAGCTGTATGGCTTGCTTTATTTAATATATAAATATTTATATTATACTATATTCTATTCTATGACCCTGCACTGCTGCATGAAATCAGCAAATTATGTTACTCTCATCTGTGGGAGGGAAATCAGATCAGTGAAATAGCTTTGTACTTGAGAACTTGATCCTTGCTCCTCTAGACTTTCTGATCAAAAGAGAACCAGTGGGCTTATGTTAACTGGTGTGTAGGTAGCCCTTTAAGTTATCCATTCCCTTTGTCAATGATTTCAACTGGACCTTTGATTTTGTGGGTTTTGGTACCACAGATAGCTAGTGACCCCCTTTCCCTCTACCCTAGTTTACACATCTCAGGTATATGCAATTTCCAACTACAGTGAGAAACAAGAGTATCATACCTGTGAAAATTTTGTCTACTATAGGATATAACACAGTTCAGCTACTGACTGCCAGCTGGAACCTGAGCATAAATGGTTCTTGTTGCGTTAATACAGAAAGCAGAATGAAAATGGGGTTGGCAATAGCAGTAATTTCTCTCATGACTGTTCCTCCCCTGCCTTCTGCTGGTCCAGCCCTTGCTCTCCAGGCACAGCCTTGCCCTGCTCTCAGACCAGGAAACTGTTCTCTTTAGCACTAGATGTGTCAGGAATGAAATAAGGAGAGGTGGCCCCTTTAGGAGGTTAGGTGTCAGCTTCAGCAGTGCCAGGTGATTGTCCCCACTCTCCAGAGTTTACCTGGAGACGTGAAGGGCTCCTTGAGTTAGTCAGGAATAGCTCAGAGAGAGACGGGGTGAGGGCAGGTTAGCAAACCTATATCGGCTGTTTTGCCTTGGCAGACTCTCCATGGCTCCCAAACGAAGGATTTGTGGCGATTTAGCATACAGAGGATTGGGAGCTGGCTAGGAAAAACAAAAGGGAGAAGCTAAGAGGGCTGATTTGGGCCTTTCTGAACTTTATAGTAACAGAACAACCTCCCCCAAAGGTGACAGATATTAATAAAAGTCTCATAGTGTGAAAACTGTGTAACTGAGTGAGAAGGAGAAACTGAGAGTATAGCAAGTAAGCATAGTACTAGAATTAAAACTGCTGGATTGGGGCAAGCTGGAAGCCTGAGAAAAACGGGGATCCGATGCAAGCTCTGCCACATAGGCTCACGGATACTTCTAAAATAAACATGGACCAAAGTTTCAACAGCGTGTCAACACCAAGCCCCACTCTGTGAGGTCAGACAGGACAATAAGGGACTCTCCAGAAAGGAAGAACCACAGGAAGCAAAAGTGTGTCTACCACTTCTGTTGTTTCAGTGGCTCTTCAAACAACAAGAAAATGAAATTCTATGCCATCTTAAGTGATGCCTTTACAAACCTGATATTCTTTTTCCTGAGGCGAAGGACTAACAGTTGTGGCAGGGAGAGCTTCCTTTGTCTGCTCTAAAACTCACAAAAACTAGGCCTGACATCTGCATATGCAAATATAGTTTTAAAAGGGATGTACAGCAAAACAGGAAATAATGTAAACAGTGACTGATTTTTTTCATTCATCTTCCCCACCTGTTTTCTCCTCCAGGCATGTTTCTAGGTGACTTGATTTCACTTTCCAGGAAGACGTGTCCCTCCTGAGCATCCTTCAGTGCTTCCTTCTTGGCGAGAAGATCTTGTTTCTCCTGAGAAAGAAGTCACGTGAAATCAGACGGAGAATGGTTTTGAAGCTCGTGACTGTATGACACCAGATAGCCTAACACAGACTTCAAATTTGTCCGAAAAATGAGAATTTCGTTCATATTTTGATCACCGTGCCAAAGGAACTCCAAACGTATTATAAGCCTGGCTACCTATAATATGGATTTTATGAGCCAGACAGGATGGTGTCTTTGTGAATTGCAATGTTTCAAAAGAAGTGGTTCATTCAGTTGTTAAATCTTAACATTCAGCCAGTTGCCATCAGTTTCTCAAATAATCGTGTATTTATATTTGTCTTTTAACTAATGGCAAGATCATATATATTCAATAGCCAATGTAGTTAAACACAGTGCAAGAAAGATAAACAAAGCTAATGTTTCAGAGTATTAGTTGATTCTACAGGGGTCGGAACTTCTCTCACATGTATATACATACACAGAAGTTGTTCCTAAAATAAATATATAGTGGGGTGCACTTAAAAAACAATAAGAAACAGCAACCCCAAATCCTATCAGAAGAAACCAATCTCACAACTCTTAACCAGTGAAAAAATGAGATTTGGCATCGCCTTCCACACCATAGTTTCATCACTCTGTGGGAAGATGTTTGTCACAGCATAGAGTGAGCTATTTAAGTACACGATGTCAAACAGGCACACAAACATGCACTGTATGTTGCCTCGACCAATTGGACAAAATGTGTTATGGAAATGTGTTGACATCTCCTAACAAATTATGCACTGAACGCTTCTGAAGAAGGATAATGCCAGTGCTCTTATTGGGTAAAAATGTATATCCGGGTACCTGCTATTGCACAGGGAAAAAAAGTTGCATGGGCTCTTGG